CTATGTCAGGACTGGATGATCTTAACGTTGATCTTATCTTTGATGGTGTGGAGAACAGGTGAAGAGGAAATGTGTGGCCAGAATAAACAGACTCCAGTGAGTATTTTCTGGGCAATAGGTAGGTACGAGTGAAATGCCAAATAATTAATTTCCGCTTCTTTAACCTTTAGTTCTCAAGCTCTGAGGAAGTGTTCCTAGAGGTTCATGGTTTGAAGACAGAAAGGTGTATCTTTCTTCTTTTTTCTTAATGAATTTTAAACATGTATTCCTCTGCACATGAAAAGATTTGAGATGCTCTGTGCAATGAAACAAGAGATAATGGTGAGTGGTGATCAAATCACAAGTTCATGACTTGGTCACATGACTGGTTTAGGACTCAACTGAATGTCACCCACTACCATACTGATTTGGACAGTGTACAGTTTTATATCTGTTATTTTTTTATATATATATATTTTATTAATTTTTTACAGAGAGGAAGGAAGATAAGAGAGTTAGAAACATCGATGAGAGAATCATCGATCAGCTGCCTCTTGCACATCCCCCACTGGGGATATGCCCGCAACCAAGGTACATGCTTTTGACTGGAATCGAACCTGGGACCATTCGGTCCACAGGCCAACGCTTTATCCATTAAGCCAAACCGGTTTCAGCTATATCTGTTATTCTTAGTCATATATTATTTAAATTAAACAAACAGTGGACTATTGATTAAAGAAAGCATATGAAGAATGCTGATATATTTTGACAATTCAGTATTTTAATAAACATGTGTCTGACTACATGGACCATATTAAAAAAATAGCCAAAACCGGTTTGGCTCAGTGGATAGAGCATCGGTCTGTGGACTGAAGGGTCCCAGGTTCGATTCCAGTCAAGGGCATGTACATTGGCTGCAGGCACATCCCATGAAGGAGTTGTGCAGGAGGCAGCTGGTCAATGTTTCTCTCTCATCGATGTTTCTAGCTCTCTGTCCCTCTCCCTTCCTCTCTGTAAAAAATCAATAAAATATATTTTAAAAAAGAAAAAGGAAAAAAAAAAAGAGTACAACTTAAACTTTGCAATTGAATGAAACTATTGATAATCCATTCATTTTCATACATGATCCACAATGCCTTGCTCCAATTCTAAATTCCAAATACACTTCTAATGAAAAATTTCTTCCTGTATTATGTATCAGCAAAATTTACCTGAACTAACAAGCTAACTTTGTCTTTCTCAAACCTAGTGTGACTCTTCACCTATTTTGCCAAAGATGTATTCACATGTTTCATGGCCAGAGGTGGCCCAGACCTCTTGGTATGTACATATTGAGTAATGTCTGTACCTTACTATCCTGCTGAAATCCAAACACTTGTGGATCCTAAAATACTACTGGCCCTTAAGGTTTTCAACAAGGGGCTGGGTCCCTGTGTGCAAAACATTTCTGACATCTTACATGCATAATAGTTAATATTTGTTCAAAATGCTTTTTTAAAAAACATAATCAAATTACGATAACATAAATAGCATGCTTAATTCAGCAGGAAAAAAGAACAAAATTAATCATTAATAGTTGTATTAAAGTGGCTTTCATAAACCAACTTTCAATAATATATTAATTTGTAATCACTTTTTAATCTAAAGTCATGCTTTTATTCTATATTATGTAAGAAGAAATTAGTAAAAACACCTCCCAGGGGGTTTGCTTTCTTAAGATGGTAAAAGCTTCCCTCAAATTTGATGGTGGAACAATAAATACATATCTATCAACAAGTGAACATAAAAATCAAGTGAATTAAAAATCTGAGGAACAGAATAAACTGGTGAATATAATAGAATCAGGGGCATAGAAAGGGAGTGGCCTGACAATTCTCAGGAGAAAAGGGGTATGGGGGAGTGCAGGAAGAGACTGGACAAAAATCGTACACCTATGGATGAGGACAGTGGGGAGAAGGTAAGGGCAGAGGGGGGGATGGGAACCGGGGGGAGGGGAGCTATGGGGAGAAAAAGGAGAAACTGTAATAACTTGAACAATAAAGATTTATTACATTAAAATTTTTTTTTTGATGGTGAACCACTGGAAGCATCCCAGATACATCCACAAAAACAAAACAAAAAACAAAACAAAAAACACACACAATAAAACAACATGGCTGACTAACATGGCTCTGTCACACTACCTGGGGCAATAGAACATCAACCATTTTATTTTAAGTCCAACTATGGAATCGGAAGAACCTAAATGATCCTGGAATGGGGATGGTGTTTTATCTACAATGGCCAAAAAAATCCAAAGTAATGCTATTAGGATCAAAGACATCTGGATGGCCTTTGAGTAAATATTTACCTGCAAAAATCAACAGAATTCCTGGATAACACATCCTGCAAGTGGACACTCTCCACAGCAGCCATGAAACTTAATAAATTCTGCAACGCACCCAGATCCTGGGCCTGAATAGTTGGGAGAGCCCAGAGCACCAAGAGAGAGAACATCAGAGACCTGGGACCTGAGAAAGATGAGAGAACACTGGATGCTGGAATCTAAGGAAGGCCAGAGAATACTTCATCCAGGCCCAAGGAAGAACATAGGTCATGTCCCGGCAGTGACAGACCTGGGCTCCTAGTCGGCAAACTGCAGCTCACCAGCCACTTGTGGCTCTTTGTCCCCTTGAGTGTGGCTCTTCCACCAAATACCACGGCCTGGGCGAGTCTATGTTGAAGAAGTGGCGTTAGAAGAAGTTTAAGTTTAAAAAATCTGGCTCTCCAAAGAAATTTCAATCGTTGTCCTGTTTGACATTTGGCTCTGTGGACTGATGAGATTGCTGACCACTGGCCTAGAATGAGGATTCTTTGCTTCCGAAAACTTCAGGCGGGTCCCTCTGAGCCCTTTCCCCACCAAGGCTCATCTCTGGAATCTTCTCAGCCAGAATCATGGTAATCCCGTTTGTCAAGAATTCCCTAACCTTGAAATCTAATAAGACTCCTCTTCCTCCTTATCCCCCAGGTGACATCCCCTTGCAAGAATCCTTTCAGGTGGGTTCAACCAGAACTCCCTCAACCTCTCCCAAAACGAACAGATATCTCCTCTTTATAACTTTCCACCAACAAACTCCACCCCCCCCCCAACCCCATCCCACCCCAATCCAACTTGGTCCTTGTCAATAAACCCCCACTTGTTCTGGTTGTATTCAGAATTAAGCCAGGTTCAATAAGGCAGTCTCCTTCCCGTTACAATTTTAAAATATATATATATATATATATATATATATATATATATATATATATATATATGTATTTTTTTCATTGATTTTTTTACAGCAAGGAAGAGAGGGATGGAGTTAGAAACATCAATCAGCTGCCACTTGCACACCCCCCACCAGGGATGTGCCCGCAACCAGAATGGGACCTAGGACACCTCAGTCCCCAGGCCGACGCTCTATCCACTGAGCCAAACCAGCATTGACTACAATTTTTAAAGAATAAAAATCTATTTTCAGCCTGGCCAGTGTGGTTCAGAGGTTGAGCATTGACCTGTGAACCAGGACAGGACACAGCAAGCCCGGGTTGCGGGCTCCATCCCCAGTAAAGGGTGTGAAGGAGGCAGCCCATCAATGATTCTCTCTCATCGTTGATGTTTCTCTCTCCCTCTCCCTTCCTCTCTGAAATCAACAAAAATACATATATTTTTTAAAACCTACTTTCACCAATTTAACTTCTATCCAGCTCCCGTTTATCTTTGACGAGACCCCACCCTCGCCAGAGTCAGGGTCACAATGAATCCCAACCTTCTCACCAAAGCACCCTAGGCTTCCCAGGAAAATTCCCCTAAGACCTTGGGCTGAGCTTAGTCCCGCCTCCAGCACTCCACAAACCCCGCCCCTTCCGTCTCCAATTGCCCTGGACGCAACTTAGCCACGCCCCCGCGCGCGAACCCCTCTCTTATCGCTCGCTCACCCAGAAGACAGACGTTAGCTCCGCCCCAAGCTTCCGGCTCGCCCCTCCTCCAATCCCAGGAACTTGGTGGACCTCAGCCCCGCCCCCCACAGACTGCTCTTCCTGTTCCCCTCCCACCCCCGAGAATTAGCCACGGCTCACTTCCGGCCCAAAGGGCCCAGCTTTCTCCCTAAAGGACGTAATCAATCACCAGTCTCGTCTCCTACCAAACGATTCTAACCCACTGGGCACTTCCAGCACAGTCTTCTCCCAGCTCCTTCTTGCTCCGACTTCCGGTTCACCGCTCGCGTGGACGCCCTCGGGGCGGCCGGGCATCCCTTGCCTCCTTGGCCTGCGTCGCCACCCACGCAGGGGTCGTTGGAACTTTGCGGCCTGGCGTTGTACCGACCCCCTCCTCCCTTCCCCCGCAGGTGTCCCTTGGCCCCGCTGCCCCGCCGCGGGGGTGGGGGAGGGTGACATGGGTGAAGGCTCTCTTCCTGGTCTCCTCGGCTTCGTCGGGTGCCCCGAGTGGCCCCGACAAGATGGCCGCCGCCTGGGAGCGGCGGGGCGCGCCGCGCCCCGGGGGTGCCTGGGAGTTGTAGTCCGGCCCCAGCTGACGCACTTGGCCGCGGGGCAACGACGGTTGCCATTGTGCGCTGCGCGCGGGTGAGTTCGGAGGGAAACTTCCGCCCGTCGGGGACCCTGTGGCGCCGGCCCTGCCCGCGGGGCTGGGAGGGGCGCCGCGGGGGCGGGGAGTAGCTGGGAGGTCCCGGCCCCGAAGGTAAACTCCCTGCGGGCGTGGGCGGGCCGACGCCCTCCACACCCACCCCACCTCCGGGCGCGGGCGGGCTGAGGCCCCGGGACGACGGAGGCGGAACCGGGTGCGGGGAGTCCCGGTCTCTCGGGAGCCGGTGCGCCGGTGTGTGGGAGCCCGTGGAGACCACCCCTCGGGGCGTTTCCGGCGGACCCCGCGGTGTCTGGGCCGGGAGGGGGCCTCGGGGCGCCGCCCTCACGCCTCTCACACCCTCCCCATTCCGGCCTCTCAGGTCTCCGCCATTCCCACCAGACACGTCGGAGGGGAAGCCATGGCCTCCAGGCTCCCCATGGCCTGGGTGCATGTGAGTAGAGACCTCCTTAGGTTTTAGGGTCACCCTGGTCGGGGGACGGGGGGCGGGTGGTGGGGACCCATCCACCTGGGGTGCTCCCCCCTTCCCCATCCTTCCTGGAGCCCGGAGAGGGACCGCCCCCCCTGAGACCAAGCTGGGTGTTTAGCTTTCCCAGGGGGTGTTCCCTTTGAGGTCCCTAACCCGCATTCTAATACACATTTGTAATTACAATTATATTTTAAATGCATTTTTAAAGAATATATTTTATTGATTTTTTTTTACAGAGAGAAATGGAGAGGAATAGAGAATTAGAAACATTGATGAGAGCTGCCTCCACAGAGGAGGTGCCCGCAATCAAGGTCCATGCCCTTGACAGGAATCGAACCCGGGACCCTTCAGTCCGCAGGCCGACGCTCTATCCACTGGGCCACACCAGTTAGGGATAAAATACATATTTTTTAAAGTATGTTTTTATTGATTTCAAAGAGGAAGGAAGAGGGAAAAAGAGAGAAACGTTAACGATTAACAGAGAACCATGGGTCAGCTTCCTCCTGCACACCCCCTGCTGGGGGGTCCAGCTTGCAATCCCCCAGGAATCCAACCCTGACCCACTTGGTTCCTGGGACAGTGGGCAGTCACTGAGCCACACCGGCCAGGCCAGCCACACTCCTATGTATTTATATTTTTCTTATTTAATTTTAATTTAATTTTTTAAAATAATATATTTTATTGATTGTTTTAGAGAGAGAAAAAGAGAGGGATAGAGAATTAGAAACGTCGATGAGAGCGAATCATCGATCAGCTGTCTCCTGCTCACACCTCCCACTGGGGATGTGCCCACAACCAAGGTATATGCCCTTGACTGGAATCGAATCTGGGACCCTTCAGTCCGCAGGCCGAGGCTCTATCCACTGAGCCAGACTAATTAGGGCTAATTTTTATTAAATATATTAGTATTGATTTCAGGGAGAGGGCGGAGAGAAGGAAAGAGATGGAAATATCAGTGATGAGCGAGACTCATGGGTCAGCTGCCTCCTGCACGCCCCACACTGGGGATCGAGCCCACAACCCCAGAGCGTGCCCTCCCCAGGAATCCAACACTGACCTCCTGGTTCACAGGTGGATGCTCTACCACGGAGCCACGCCCACCAGGCCACTCACACTCGATTTTATTTTTTTTATTTATTTTATTTTTTAAAATATATTTTATTGATTTTGTACAGAGAGGAAGGGAGAGAGATACAGAGTTAGAAACATCGATGAGAGAGAGTCATCGATCAGCTGCCTCTTGCACACCCCCTACTGGAGATGTGCCCGCAACCAAGGTACATGCCCTTGACTGGAATCGAACCCGGGACCCTTCAGTCCCCAAGCCGACGCTCTATCCATTGAGCCAAACCGGTATCGGCTCACACACTATTTTAGATTTCAGCAGCTATGCCAGCAGCAAAGCTAGAGGTGGCATGAGCTCGGTCACTAGGAATGATGGCTCCTTGGCAGTTAAAGGAAGTAGCAGTGTGGGTGGTTGGGGGGTGGAGGGTGTGAAGGCTGGGGTGCCAGGATTCAGCGCAAGGACTCCCCTAGGGGGAGACAGACACTCTAGCACCAGCGTAAGAAACCCTCGATTCATAGGGAATGGGGGAGGCTTTCAGAACATCAAGAACCCTCTTCAGCTGAAACCGGTTTGGCTCAGTGGATAGAGCATCGGCCTGCGGACTGAAGGGTCCCAGGTTCAATGCTGGTCAAGGGCAAGCACCTTGGCTGCGGGCACATCCCCAGTAGAAGGTGCGGAAGAGGCAGCTGATGGTTATTTCTCTCGTCGATGTTTCTAACTCTCTATCCCTCTTCCTTTCTGTAAAAAGTCAATAAAATATATAGTATATATTTTTAAAATCAATAACATATATTTTTAAGAACAAAAAAAATAACCGTCCAGCCATGTGGCCTGAGGGAAGCCTGGCTTGGGATGGCTCAGAGTCAGGCAGACGCAGGAACACCCGATGAGTCACCCGGCATGCTCTCCGCACCTCTGGTAACCTGTGCCTTCATGTTCTCACCGCCTCCCCCCGCCCCCACACACACACCATCCTGCCGCTTGGAAGGGTGACGTGCCCCAGCTGAACTAGAACCTGTGGCTTTTAGGAGCCGGTGGCATTTGAAGACGTGAGCCTGGGTTTTGGCCTGGAGGAGTGGGAACTGCTGGACCCCGAGCAGAAGTGCCTGTACAGACAGGTGCTGCTGGAAAACTACAGGAACCTGGTCTCTGTGGGTAAGCCCGGCCTCGTGTCCGTCCAGATGTGCGCATGGCTGCCCGATGGTGGTGCCGCTGAAGTCTGTGTGAGTGTGTGTCTGCTTGGGCTCAGGCTGCAGGGGTCAGAGTGCAAGGGTCGAGGCCCGGGGCTTGAGGGAGAGGGCTTTATTTTGTAAAACCCACGGGGAAAGAGCATCGTCATCACCCGTGGCTTCGGAAGCAAGTGCCACCCCTCAGAGGCCTTGAATTCCAGGAAGGTGGCCTCAGGAATCCCGGAGGGCATGGTGTCAGCGTCCAGAAGCTCAGGGGCTGCGTCCCAGACCCAGACCCCTTCCATCTCTGAGGTCAGGGGGAACGATTCCACGCTTCGGTTGGTAACTGCATCATCGTGGCTTCAAGCGTCACTCTCCTGTTAAAAGCAGAACGAAGGGGAGGACAGCCCCGGCTGGTGTTCTCACAGCTGTTACCTTCAGCAAAAGAGAGAACGCCCTGTGGCTCCTCGGGCTCACTCCCATTGGTGACATGCCGGCCAGAACTGGGTCCCACCGCCAGCTTTACCAGCGAGGGAGTCCCGGAAAGCAAGCGGTGGTGGGCGGTTACCATCGCTGCCCTTGACCGAAGTCACAGCAGGTGCCACTGCAGGAAAGCGTTTTCCTCCGAACACGGGCCCCCAAGTCCTGTCTCTCTTCCCTTGTGCAGAACATCAGCTTTCCAAGCCAGAGGTGGTGTCTCGGCTAGAGGAGGAGGAAGAGCACTGGTCAGTGGAGAGAGGAATTCCTCAAGACACCTTTCCAGGTGAGCGCCAGGCCGTGGGATCCTGGCAGGGGGGATGGGCAGACTGGACAGAAGGAACCCGGTGGGGTGCTGGGGTGAGTGTCTGCCTTTCCCTCGGGCCTCGGTCAGGGTATGTCGATTGCTCTCCCCTCGTGTAGCCGCCGATAAATGGTGTGTCCCTGGCCAGGCTTTTTATTAACCCTCACCGGAGGATATTCTTTCTGTTACTTTTTAGAGAAAGAGGGAGGGAGACATCAACTGGTTGCCTCCCACATATGCTCTATCCAGGGGTGGGGAGTGAACTGCCACCCAGGTACGTGCCTTTGACCAGGAATTGAGCCCTCAAGACACTCTAATCTGGTGGACGCCCGCCTTTCGGGCATCATGGACCACCAGTGGTCCGAGGACCAACGGTTGGTGACCGCTGCTCCGATCACTGAACCACTCCCGCCTTGTTTATGTTTACATAGATGTATGTGAATACTGTCCCCTACTGAATGATAGTGTGAAACAAGTGTTTAACTTTACGGTGGCACTCTCTGGACCGTATTCAACAATTTATATATATCAAGCAGGCTTTGTGGTGGATCAGGAATGAGGAACCCTTTTTCTGCCAAGGGCCATTTGGATAATTATAAGATCATTCTCGGGCCATACAAAATTATCCGCTTAAAAACTAGCCTGCTAGCCGAAACCGGTTTGGCTCAGTGGATAGAGCGTCGGCCTGCAGACTGAAGGGTCCCAGGTTTGATTCTGGTCGGGGGCATGTACCTTGGTTACGGGCATACCCCGAATGGGGGGGTGTGCAAGAGGCAGCTGATCGATGACTCACTCTCATCGATGTTTCTAGCTCTCTATCTCTCTTCCTTCTTCTCTGTACAAAATCAATAAAATATATTAAAAAAAAAAAACAAACAAAACTAGCCTGCTAAATTTGGTCAGACATTTAATTAGCTTAACCCTGATGCCTTGGCAGGTCCAGGCCAAACGATTAGGCCCATAGGTCAGACATTCCCCACCCCTGTGTGAGATAATTTTGCCCCGCCTTGGCCTAGTGTTCTGAGGATGTTTAAGGTATGCTGGGTTACCTGCCTTTTCAAGTTAAGCTATTTTCAACTTAGGGTGGGTTTATCGGAACATAACCCATCCCTAAATTGAGGGACATCTGTATATGTTTATATTTTGGGGTGTTCTTAATACAGGGCTGCTTCATTTTAAAAGGTGCAGCATAGTCCATATTTAATTTTCTCTCTCATGGACATTCAAGTTGTTGCAAAAAACTTCCTTGTATACATCTTACTTTTTGGCACATTTAAGTTGGTTTTTCGTGTGGGCAGGATTTATACAAATGGGACTTGAGAATCTGTTTCTCAACGTAAGTCTAGTAGCAACAAATGGCTGTCTCAAATCCTTGGAGCCCTGGCTGGTGTGCTCCGTGGTTAGAATGTCGGACCATGCCCCAAAGGGTTGCAGGTTCGATTCCAGGTCCAGGGCACCTATCTGGCTACAGGTTTGATCCTCTTCCTGGGTTGGGGCACGTACAAGAGGCAGCCAATCAGCTGAAACCGGTTTGGCTCAGTGGATAGAGCACCGGCCTGCAGACTGAAAGGTCGATTCCGGTCAAGGGCATGTATCTTGGTTGCGGGCACATCCCCAGTAAGGGGTGTGCAGGAGGCAGCTGGTCGATGTTTCTCTCCCATCGATGTTTCTAACTCTCTATCCCTCTTCCTCTCTGAAAAAATCAATTATATATATATATATATAAAAATATATATATATACATATATATATATATATATATTTATTTATTTTTTTAAGAGGCAGCCAATCAAGGCAGGCAATCAACGTGTCTCTCTCATCGATGTTTCTTCGTCTCTCCCTTTCCCTTACACTTTCTCTAAAGCAGTGTTTCCCAAACTTCTGTCATGATGAGAATCACCTGGTGGAGTTGTTAAAATACAGATTCCTGAATCCCAACTAAGAAGTGCTAAACTAGAATTTTTGGGAACATATAGGTAAAATTGTATACTTAACTTAGTGTTCTGTCTTAAAATTCTAGTTTAGCACTTCTTAGTTGGGATTCAGGAAACTGTATTTTAACAACCTCATCAGGTGATTCTCATCATGACAGAAGTTTGGGAAACACTGCTCTAAAGAATCAATGGAAAAAATAGTGTCTAGTGAGGATTAAAAAAGAAAAAAAAGTTTTAGGGTTTGTGTATTTTTATTCCTGTTCTAGGCTCTGTATCATACATAGGCTGGTTGTACAAGTACGTTTTGCTTCCTCGTTTCTGTGGGTTTTTTCTTAGCTTTTGTACTTGTCTGGCATTTCTTCCTGTGTATGGCATAGGGCACGTGTTCGCTCAGTGCCCATTTTCAATCCAGCTTCTTCCACTTATTGGAAACACCGTGTTTATCATGAACTAGGTTTTTTGCTTTCAGTCCTCACCTGAGGATATTTTTCCCTCATTGATTTGATCCTGAGGGTCCAGACCTTCCTCACGCGCACTTCAGCATGACCTAACAGTTTCCTGGCTCCGGCTGCCACGGGGCACAGGGTCAGGGCTTGTGCCATTGCAGAGACCGTGTGCTGGAGGCTCAGCAGGCCTCAGGGGACGGTTCCTGGCTCTTCTGCCACCAGAGTCCCTTCACCTCCCAGCCCCGGGGGAGCCCTCCTGTGTCCTGCCCAGGGCACTAAACACTCTGGTGGTGAACCACAGGCCTGACTGGCTCCTGCCATGGTGGACTTTGTAGTCTGGGGTTTACAGCTTCTCAGACAAGTGGTGCGCCCTAGGGCCTGGTGTAAAGGGAGTGTGGGGGCTACTCCACAGGAGGTGATCTGGGACACTGCGGGGTGAGATTTAAGCCGATTCCTGAGGGGGGGAGGGGAATTCTGCAGAATTTTAAGAGTGATAATGAGGAGCACTTCCAGGCATGGAGACAGAGTTTGGCATATTTGGGGAACAAAATGTCACCCAACTGAGGGCAGGGGGCAGGTAATGGTCACGTATTGACATGACGTTGAGGTTCAGCAGGCGCACAGGGCCCACTGAGCAGGCGGTTTGGTTTTCAGTGAGTGTAAGTGGCTTTCCACAGCTCGCTCTGGGGCTCGTGAAGAAAGAATGGTGGTAGGCAGCTGGAAGCCCTGGTTGAGGTAGCACCTGGGGCAGAGGTGATGGTACTTGGCCTGAGAGAGCAGTCATGGGGCTGGCATGGTGCTTCTCCCCATTCAGAGGCCAACCCAGTGGGCTGGGTGAGGGACTGACCAACGGGGCAAGTGAGGAGCCTGCCAGCAATTCCCCATAAGCAAAGGTGTTCAGGACCTCCTGTGACGAGTCTTTGTTACATGTGTGTTTAAGTTCTTTTTGTATCTCATTATTAAAGTACAATAAAGAAGAACTTTTGGCATTATGCAGAGACACAGGGAAGTCTGCAAGAGTTACATGAATAGTTCAAAGAACTCCTTAATAACTTTTACCTAGATACAAGGGTTTGGAATTGTCCCGTGTCTTGACCCATTCTGTTAATGAGTGATGAATGGGAGGGGACTTAGGCATTTGTGAGTTGAGTGCACCTTGTCTGACCCTCAGGAGGCCCGGGCAGTGTGTTAAAACATGGAAGTCATAGGTGTTTGGAATGGCTTGCTTTCCTGTTAGAGGAGACAGCCATCTCTTGCGATGGTCACTTTCTCCCAACATTGCTGTAGCACAGCTATAAGGGAATGAGTGGAAACCAGGCCTTTCTGACACAGCTAAGCTCACATGCCCCTCTGCCTCCCCATGATTGCAACAATGGCAGCATAGGAACTGGTGGAAGTAGAGGAAATAGTCAACACTTGAGACAGGGCATTCATCTTCACGTAGATGCTAATTTGGAAAGATGTTGTGAAGATAAGGAATGTGGCGAAATATTTTGTGGTGGTTTTGTTGTTGTTAATCCTCACCCAAAGATATGTTTCCATTGATTTTTAGGGAGAGGGAAAAACAGAAACATTGATGTGTGAGAAACACATCTATTGGTTGCCTCCTGAATGAGCCCTGACCAGGACCCTCGTCAGGGAGGAGCCTGCAACCAAAGTACATGCCCTTGACCAGAATCTAACCCGGGACCCTTTGGTCTGCAGGCTGACGCTCTTATCCACTGATCAAAACTGGCTAGGGTGTATGTGGAGAAATATTTGATGGCACTCAGATCTTCAGCCATCACACAGTGTTCTTTACAGAAGGTTTTGCCATATGTGTGGTTCGTGTAGAAAATTTGACACATAATCTAGATTTAACCTTTAGGAAAGCAATGGAGTGAAAGACACTTTTTTGAAGGTCATGATTGTAGGAAAGCTTGCAGGGCATTTAACTTTTTTGGTTCGTCAAGAAATTAAGCAGGAAATGAGCCCTACACATATAAATGTGGCAACTCTCAAAGGAGTACTAACATTAGTAGAAAAAAAAATCACTAGAATTTTGTTGGAAGAGAAGGAAATCCTTCTCTACACATGGGAGACAACCATTCAGAGACCGGATGGAGTTAGTCCTCTTCATGATTTTTCAACATGACGACTCAAACAGATGCAATCTGAGGAATGTGACCATAGCAGGAAAGGCTTCTGGTCTGATTCAGTCAGTTGTGAGAGAATTCATACTGGACACCCCCCCCAAAAAAAAAAAAAAAATCTAGTCATATGAAAAAAGTTCTAAGACCAAATAATTACATCTGAGAACTCTGAAACCACGGGAATGTGATTGCTGTGGAAAGGTCCGAGGAGTAGCTCTCGCATTCAGCCTCACGAGTCATACCAGAATGTGCCTGAGGATGTGGTCAGTGTTAGGAAGGCCTCAGGAGTCACAGAATCCACAGCAAGCCATTCAGTAGGAGTCCTCGTTGTGTCCTGCAACAGAGGACTCATGTGAGCGCTCGCACTCAGTGCAGCCTGTGCAGGTGAAAGCCACAGCCTTGGTCTCACCTTAACTGACAACAAGCAAACAAAAAGCCTTACACGGGATTGAACCAACCACGGTGAAGAA